GACTAGGTCCCTGGATTACAATACGTCTCAATGTCCACAGGCAACTGTCCTATAAAGCATCCACTGATTTCAACTGCAATCACGGTGCTCAGCATCTCTGGGAAAAGCCAGGTAGTCAGTTTGTGTCTGCCTCATCTGTAAGACAGGGTTAAACACCTCCCTACCTTCTGGAGGCACCAGGATGCTAAATTCATTAGCAGTACCTTCAGACGTGTGGGTGGAAAGTACCAAACAAGGTCAGAGTGTTATTAATGGCACTGAAAAAGAGCCACCAGTGATTTTAGATCTCAGATGCAGTTTGCCCACTTTAATTTCTCATATCGTGTGTCTACAGGACATATGCTGTGAAGACCTGAGACAACTTACTCTATTCCCTTAAAACAACTGTTGAAAACCCCACATAAAGCTCAAAAAAGTTAAAAGTTCTCTTGGACAATGACTCTGTCAGGTATGAACAGGGCAGGGAGGTGCGTTAGATAAGGAGGTTCTGAGGGACAGAAGCCCCTTTGGCACCTCTTGCTGAGAGCAGGGCAGTAACACACAGGATCCTTCACTTGGATTTGGAAGGGAAGAATTTTTCAACAGGCCCTGTCCCTCACCGCACTTTTGTGATACACTAGCAGACACCCTCAACTGGCCAGAAAAAGTCTGCTCAGCTCTTACTGACTAGGAATCTTAAGCAGCTCAATTATTTAATGCTGACTGACCACTAGAAGAGAGGGATTTTGAAACGTGTCCCTTACAGACACGTGCGACAGTCAAAACGGCAATGTGTACGACCTGATGTGCAAATGTAAATGGTGAGCCAACGTGTGTATGAAATACGAGACAACTTCAATTGCATATCTTATTTCCTTATTTTGTTCTGGATGCTTCCCTTTGTGTTCTGAAGATCTCTCCTGTCCCAGCAATACATCTCCAAGATACCTCCTTTTCCCAGGTAAATCCATCCCAAGATCCTATTTCTAGGAAGCCTGGTGGAAAGAGATATATGCTTATTACATCCTCTGATGGGTGTAAAACAAAGAAAACAAAGTAACAGGAGTAAAGAAGCCACAGGAAAATTCAAGCTGTGCTGAGCCCTGGGCTGCTCAAGTGCACTCGTGCCTGCTTGTCTGTCTTAAATACTGTAAATTCTCACAGCAGGGTCACCTTTACATTGATACAAATATCAAACCTGTCATCATCATTAAACAAATGACAGCCTGTCTGCAAGGGTTAGCCTTCTGCTGGAATGAAACTGCATGACATATTTGGATATGGAGCACATGCAGATCCTGCTAAGCCTTTCCTGCACTGGTAACACACAGCTTTTCAGCTTTATTTCAACAGAGAGATATTCTCTCCTAGCACTGGAGTGCAGCTCAGTGCTCGAGAGCATGAAGGAGCTTGGAGAGGACCTCTCATTCCCTCCTCTGGGAGGAGAGGAGGTCGTAGCCTTCGTTCCTCCCTGGCACTCAGAGACTTCATTGCTGCAAGGACCAACAGATGACACGATCCTACACATCTCTTTCCTGATGGAAAAGAAATCAGTGATTCATCATCTGTGTATTTTCCTCCTGCAGCTACAGATCGATGCACAGCACTGGGCTGCAACACTCACACCATGCACACAAGTCCTGTTGTTTCCCAAAACCATCAGCCCTAGCTCCTTGCGTGTATTCCAGAAGGCAATATTATCTCAGGGATTAACTCCAGACAAAGGGCGAGTTACCTCACTCTCTAGAACAGCTCTCTTCAGAGCCAGCTACAAAAACAAACGATGCAGTATTTCCTTAAATACACCAACGGGGAATAAACCAAACAAGACTGGTGAGACCGCAGCAGCGTCACCTGGTGAGGATCACCACATTAACAGCAAGGCAGAGTTCTGAATTCGACACTTTCAGTCAGACCTTTTCCTGGTCCCACCTGATGCCCTTTCGTGGCAAGGCTCTGGGGCCACGTTGGCAGAATTACTCGGTTCTGTCCCTGACACGCTCTGGACACGATCCCAAACCATCAAGAAGCAGATGTCCCTATCCAGGTTGCCAGCACTGAAGGTGAAAGTTTATTACTGTGCCTTTGCATTTCCCTTGATATAAACAGGAAACAACCAGCATTAGACTCACTAAATAAAAAGCCAAACCAGATAGGCAAGGCAGAAGATGCTTCTTTTTCTATACACACCCTTTTCCCTCTCATTCACATACAAATTACTGTTGCATCCAGGTGGGAGGAGAGTTTGAAGAGGGGAGGGGGGAAGAAATGTTTGCCAAATAGGTTGAGGGATCAGAAGGCAGCTTTCTCATAAAGCTTAGGGCTGACCCACAAACTGCGAAAAAACCTCAAACTCCGCAAGAGTTTCCCTCCTCCCCATTTTCAGGGTGAGAGCAGCCACAGCAGGGAATTGGTAGGCAAGTAAGGGGTCTAACCAGGTCACTCCACCCTTCTCTTCCCGCCTGGAGCGTAACATGGGAGGGAAACAGACCTGAAATGTAGGCCATCTACAAAGGCTGGGGGAGAGGCTTAAATGATGTGAGATTTATGATCTTCAAAGTGATTAGCGCCCAGCACTCCAAATAAAGTCAAAGAGAGCTCAGCAGCTCTTGCATTCGGTTTGGAGTTGGGTTTCAAGCCATACTTCTCTGGCTTCAGTTTGAAAACTTGAATTGCAAGGTAACCAAAAAAAAAAAGCCACCCTAAACCAACCTCAAACCCCAAACCAAAATTAAAAAACCCACCAACCTCCACCCCTAATGAAAGAGCTCAGCAGCTGATTTTACATGAAAACACGTCGATATTTCCATATCTCCCTTCTCCCTTTTTCTCGTCATTTGAAATCTGTTTGCTGAATTGAAGATGAATTCACCAATAGCTGAGGTCAACCTGAAACGTGAGTGTATAACCTGTGTGCATTTGGGCTCATTCTCATTTAAAATAATAATAACAATAAAGACTCAAGTCTACACATGGCCTTGAGAGGGCCAAGAGAGGGAGACAGAGAGCCATGTGCACACGCCTATGGCCACTCACATGGACTGTTACAACCCCATCCCTGACACCACTGCAAAAACGCCTGCTGCGGACACTACCTATGTTCTGGGGCCTCGGACCAGGCTAAAAAAAACCCAACACACATTAAAATGAACTTGTTCACAGGCTTTTGCTTTTTAAACCTTGATAAGTCCCCAGTCAGGTTACTTAGATGTGCTGGCACAAATGAAAGGGATTTTGTGGTACCTCTTTGGTGGAGGGAGAAAAACAAGAAAAGGGAACTGAATGCTACAAAAGACTGTCATAAAACCACAATCTCTTTTTGGGAGGAGGACGTTTCTATCAAGCAGACTCTGGCCCAAATCCCATTGACTGCAAGGCTGTCTGCCTCCACAACTTCACCAGCATCCACTCATTCAGTGGTGTGCAGAGGATCTTGAAGATAATGGGTCGAATCATCAGTGGGTGTAAATCAGCACTGCTTCACCAGTCAATAACGTTTCCTTGATTAACCTCAGCCCAGCTTCCAGTTCTAACATCTTTGTGGCGTTGCCATAGGAAAAGTTTGCAACATGTAACAATCCTGTACTTTCATAGCTTATTTCTATCTTGAGGGAATTTTCTTTTATCACTAGTTATAAGCAGATTGAATTCTTCTCTTGGCATGTAGAAAGTCTGTGCTTTGGGCTCTGCAATCCACAGAGCTGGAGACACAAGACTTTTTGTTTTCAGCTGGGTATTCCAAAAACCTGGAAGATGGCTGAACGTGTTACGACACCTTTGATAGGAAGTTACGACCCACCCAAAACCAGAGCAGCCAAACCAAACAAACAAACAGCAGCTTGCTGACACCTGTCAGACAAGAGCCACCAAGGCAAGCTTGAAGGACAGAAAAGTCACGGCGAGAAGCTTCGGCTACCCACCTGTCGCTAGCAGGAAGCCTTTGCAAAGGACGGCAACCTTTGAGCTGGGGAACGCGCGGCTGGAAGCAGGGAGGCTGCTGTACTGGTAAGAGTGCCAACGTCTGCTTCAAGTGCTCATGACTGCCTGTGGAGTCACAGACCCCTCTGCTTTCCTCGACCAGCTCCCTGGCCAGCCCCTGGAGGCCTGCAGCAGATCAGCAGGTTAGCTCTCTAGACCTCCTCTCTTTCTTGACAAGTCTGAGTCCAGCTCTACTGATGGCCACAGGATTCCTCAGCTCTGGACTCCGAGAGCATTTTCTTATGTGTCTGCACAGATCCAAGATCTATACGCTCCGGAGGGCTGCAACCTTCCTCCCCTTGCAATTCTGATGTGAGATTGGAGGATTTCTTAGAGCCACGTATGAAAATCTCCAGGCACTCAGTGAGACAGTGGTTGCTTTTAGCTGTATGAAGCCGGAGGATAACAGCAAACACAGTAAAGACAACGGTCCCTCACGTGTTCATTTGCAATTAGGGCTTGCTTGCCCTGCAAGAAACACTTGCTTTTATCTGCTGTCCCTTTCCCCACTGCCTTGCAAAGAGGAATCTGTGTTGTAGGCAGGCCTGGTCTTGACCTATGCACTCCAAGACCTCAAACCACCTCATCTTCAGTCCTTGCTGATACTCCTGTGAGTCAGCCCTGTGCTTTTAGACTTGCATACCACAGTGCTTTCAGCACCAGTGTCACAAGCAGTAGAAGTGCATGGGGTTTTGGGGTCGGATTTGCACATTTGCCAGTGTAACTGAGGTGCCTTTTGTTTCTAAATGACAATAGAAAAAATTAAAAAGCCAGAAAAAGCCTCAAGCAAATGGTCATTTAAAGCAACTCTATAATTAACTGAACTTCTATGAAATAGGAAGGCCTGGAAACCAGAAGTTTAATCCGTCATTCTATCCCACAAGGGGAATTGGGAGAACTTATGTGGTCTGTTTAATGGCAGCTTCTGACCTAACAGTTTTTATCTCTTAGCAGTAGCTGCCTGGTACTGGGCAAGATGAGCACTTAAAAAACAGTAATTCAAGAAAGCAGGAGAATACCTGGTAACGCAGGGAGCGTCTTACCTGCCTGTTAAAGTCCAGCCCATTCTGTTCATTGCCTACAATGAAACAAACAGAAACATATCTCAGTATTAATTAGAGTCAGCATCGATGTAAACTTTCCAGAACTTAGAACACACAGAACCAGAGACACGCTGCTAGCCCAGCTCCGTTCGTAAAAGCAAGGAGAGGAGGAGGAAGGTGGAGTCAATGCGAATGCAGCAATGGAAATACGAAGGCAGCTTTTGCATGATTTGGTGGTATCAGCCTTTGTTGAAGTATAACAGAAGTGCTTCTGCCCGGGAGATACAGCAAGGGTGGGGGAAAGCTCACTGACTGCAAGGGAGATTCCAGCAGAGGTGAGCTGGAGGACGTTACAAGTCTCCAGGGAAATCCAGGACCAAGGCACTGTAGATAAAGAATTAACTGTGGGAGAGGCTAGCAAACAGGTGGCCGAGGCTGTTCACCAGGGATCTTCAGGAACCCATGTGGCACTGAGTAATTATGGGATATCTAAAGGAACAGAGGGTGCCGTGGGGTTGTGCTCAAGAGGCGTCTCCTTGATTCCAAAAGAGATTGGCAGGCACAGGGGGAAAATCAGACAGGTTTCAGCCTGAAGGTACCACACAGGCCCTCACTCATTCCCCTTTGATGATAAACATTCCCCCCCCATCACACCTGCCAAATTCATCAAGAACATCACAGGGGAAAAGTTGTACGCTCCACAGATATGAATGCTTTAAGGGATTCCACGAAACCTCTTTAGTTGCAAAGGCAACCCCAAGAAACCCCTTCCTTTCCCTTTGCAATCCATTCCCTAAGTCATTCTCTTCCAGTCCAACTGAGTTTGTGATACAGTCTTGAATTGTTGACATCCCACTGGCACAAGCCCCCAGGGCCGCCGCCTCCTGTTTTTTCCAGTATCACGTTCCCCATAAAGCATAGCCCATGCCCTGTGATCTGATCAAGCTTCAACACATCGTGTTTCTCAGTAGTTCATGTCTCTCTTGCACAAATTTGGAAAGCAGTTAAGAGAGGCTGTGCAGGCAGGAGTGCAAGTCCAGCTCTTCCACTGACTTGCTTTTTTCAACGGAACAAGCTTCTACCCTAATCTAGCACGCAGTTTTTCAGCTTGCACCATACACATAATATTCCCAGGTGAATCAGCACAGTTCTTTGAGATCCTCAGGGGGAGCGTGCTTGGTACAATTATTCATAGATGGCAAAATATTTTAGAGTCAATGATAACAATTTCATGGCACTCTGTTCTCTGCTATCTAGAAACAGCTCTGGAGATTTAATCTGCAACATGTTAACAGCATAGACTGTGGAAACGGAGCTGTCTTGGTTGCTCTTGTTAGGCTGAGCCTTGGTCTCCGCTATCAAACAATACCAGAGCAGTATTTCACAGCGGAACAAGTTGTGGTCCCCCCCGCTCTGAAATCTCCTCTATCTTCTCACCATCTGCAACTCAACCCAGATCCAGCCGTGCACCTTCTCCTCTAGCCTGTCTGCATTTCTGCTGTGCTAGAGCCTGTCCTCCCGCCCCGTCTTCCTCCTGGCCTGCTTCTCGAAGCTTTTTCTCTTCCCAGTCTCAGGTCTTTATCTCCTTTCACGTAATTCCCTACTCTGCTACAACCTCCAACTTGCCACACGCTTCCGTGCTCCTGTGCTGTAACCATCTGCTCCCTGACCACCTCTCGCCAGCTGCTCCCGCCCGAGGAATTTGTTCATTCATTGCGTTCCAGCTCTACGCCCCAAGAGCCAACAACTGCACATATAACGATGGGAATGCTGATAGTGTTAATAGATGATCACAATCAGCATCCACACACCTGAGCAGGACTGTGTGAGGATCTTCAAGGCCTGCAGTTTCTACCTTTGAAACCCACGGGGGGTTGATGCAATCTAAAGGCAGTAGCTAAAGGGAAGAAAGGCAAGGAGGAGAGGAGGAGGAAATAAAGCTCCCAGTTGCTAAAATAGAACAGGAAGGAAAAGGTAATCTTCTGGTTTCTTGGATACAAGAGTTTTGCTCATGTTCAAATGCAGCATGTTGATGAGCTAAGATTCAAAGACCTTGAGGGAAATCCCTAGGTCCCAGTGATGATGGCTCTGAGTCACCATCATACATCCCAAAACTTGGAACTTGAGATGCACAGTTGGAACAGTCACTCCACATTGCTACCACCAGGCCAAAGTTCTCCAGCACATTCTTTTCTCCTACCCCAAGCTTACCAATCTCACATTTTCTCCTCCCTGCACAAGCACATGCAGATGACAGACCTCTACCTTTCTTTTTCCCTTCCTCTCCTACACAGGCCAGACACAGTTTCCTCCAAGTCCTACCCTCTGTTCTCTTGCACATCCCACCGCAGTTCAACGGGGTGTTCGGGAGCACCTCAGCCAGGTATTTTGTGACAGTGGAGCATACTGCAAAAATATGCATGGAGATTGACATTAACTCAGTCGTAGCTTGGGCGTCTAAGTCTGAGATAACTGCCCCAGGCTGTCTTGGTAGACAGCGAGGAGAAATAGGCACCTCCAGAGGCCATTCATCTGACCTATCTTAGACGCCTATCTTAAGTTGAGATGAATGGCCCTCTGGAGATGACTATTTCTCTTTATTGACTACAAAGGGACCCAGGGGCAACTAGTTCAGACTTAGATGTCCAATAGTGAGATATTTAAAACTGGGCGAGGTGATTTCTACTCCCAGTGGTTATGTAAATGGGAGCTGGATACACAAATCTCTTCAACATTTCAGCAGAACCAGTGAGTGTTTGTGCACAGATTTATTTGCAAACAAATCTCATCTTTTTCTATTTCAGTAAAAGCTTGTGTTTGAGTAAAATTCAAATTATTCCAGCTGCAAGCCAAGGTTTGGGTGTGATAGGGATAACAACTTGCCTCTTTCAGTTACATCAGTAACTTTCCTACAAATATTTCTAAAAAGGACTCAGTTTCCTCTCAGTTTCTGTCAACATCAGGACTCAGGTTGAAGTAGTCATTTCTCTCCTTAAAGGAACGGGCTGTTCAAACAACAAGGATCTGCACTTAAGATTTAATCTTTTCTAGCTCCAGGAGATAAAAAGAAAGAAAAGTGTAAGTGGCAGCAGATTCTCAGCTGCTGTAAACTGCCAGAACTCCGCTAATTTTAATGGAGCTTTGCACCAGCCAACAACTTGCCTCTTGCTCCACCAGCCAGACACAATGGGATCCAAAGTCTCCAGTGTCTGCTAGACGCAGTCCTCCCCTCCTTAAATTGCACCAAACTGGGGAAGCCCTGGGATTTAAATGGAGAAAGATTGCTTTGAGCCCTTTGCACTACGGCTACCAGGAGCTTCCCCATCAAACAAGCCTTCATTCTCCTCTTTATGGGTGTTCTGGACAGGGGGAAAAAGGCAGCGATAAGCTCAGCTAGTTCCCCGCAGCACGGCAGACAAGGACGGTACTGCTCTCCTTGGTTCACCTGGCAGCTGTTTTGCATAGCACTGGCATCAGATCTGGTGCGAGTTTGCCTGGGGAGGTTTCTCTGGGGATGGGAGCAGCAGAACAGTTCCGGACGCTTCCCCCCACCCGCTGCTGTTCCCCCCGCCTGGAACGCACTGTTTGCTCTGAAAACCAAAGACAAGCTCTCTATCAGAACCGACGTGATTCCCACTAGAAGTCGCCGAGCCAGTCCGGCACTTGAGGATAAAAGTGCCGTAATGGGAGAAAAGTAAAATCAAGATTGCAGTGTGCCTTCATCTTCGCCAGGCAAACACATGCAGCAACATGCAGATGTCACCTACGGGGAGTGACAGCCTCCCATGGCTTTTCGCCCAACGACAAGAACAGGGCTGCAACCAGAAGGCTAACCTTATCCCCCTTCCCAGCCAACTACACACCTAATTCACCTCACAGTTTGATCTCAGCTGCACAGAAGGGACAGGGAATTAAGAGGTGATTTCAATCTTTAACAGGTGTTGGGGAATTCCCACAGGGAATCAGTTTTCTGCCGCATGCATTTGGGAGGGAAATTCAGAACAGCTGAACGGCGATGGAGGAACAGTGCCAGGCAGACATCAGGCAGGGGATTCAGCTGCCTGGGCTTAGATGTCTAACTTTTAGGTGTCTAATTCTGAGCCAATTGCTCTAGGCTCCCTTTACAGCCACGGAGAGGAAGGAGGCGCTTCCAGAGGGCAATTCATCTCGCCCCCGAGATAGACAGCAGAGAGATGAATCACCTTCTGGAGATACCTATTTTCATCATTGACTGTACAAGGAGCCTGGGGTGAGTAGGTCAGACTTCAGCCTCAAAGTATTGAGTATCTAAAATTAAGATTAATCTCACCTATCCTGAAGATTTTGTCACTCCAGTTGACAAAGCACAATGCCGTTAGAGATTGACAAAGCAGGCCAGATGCAGAATATTTTTAAATGTACATTTTCTAGAAGCTGAGAAATGAACTTGTTCACATTAACTGAGACAAGAATCAAATCTCTCACCTCAGACAACACGTGAAGTTAAAAGATTACCCAAGAGTGGGTAAAGAAAAGAGTGACAATAATTGTTATAACTATAAACAATACTTGACCCACATAGTGTAAATGAAGCAAAATTCTCACCTGCACTGAGAAGGATGTGGTTCTATTAAAAAAGATAGTCATAGAATAATTAAGGTTGGAAAGACCTTTAAGACCATCAAGTCCAACCATCAACCCAACATCACTATGCCCACTAAACCATGTCCCAAAGCGTCACGTCTACATGTCTTTTGAACACTTCCAGTGATGGTGACTCCACCACCTCCCTGAGCAGCCTGTTCCAATGTTTGACCACTCTTTCAGTAAAGAGATTTTCTCTCATATCCAATCTAAAGCTCCCTCAAATACATTCCTCGGGATTTCAATTCACTTTAGAGACTCAAGCAAATTCCAAGTCATAGCCCTCACACTACTATTCCCAGCAGTCAGACCAGCGACATCTCCAGAGCTAGCAGGAAAAGCCCTGGGTGGTAGGAGCTCACTTAAATCACCTTCTCTCCATTTTAGTGGCTACCTCTGATTCCCTCCAGCT